TAGGGGGGGATTTGAGGACACTGGGAGGGGATTTGGGGGTGCTGAGAGGGGACTGGGATGGACTGGGGGGGAATGGGGAGAGACTGGGAGGGACTGGGATGGGATTTGGGGGCACCGGGAGGGGAGTGGGACCTGTGCACACCTGGAGCTCCTTGCCCAGCTCTGAGCAAGCGTGGTGAGACCCTGCACATGCCTTACACAGCAGTTACACACAGTTACACACAGTTACACACAGTTACACACAGTTACACACAGTTACATGCAGTCACACACAGTTACACACAGTTACACACCAGTTACACACGGTTACACGCAGTCACACACAGTTACACACAGTTACACGCAGTCACACACAGTTACACACAGTTACACACCAGTTACATGCAGTCACACACAGTTACACACAGTTACACACAGTTACACGCAGTTACACGCAGTTACACAGCAGTTACACACGGTTACACGCAGTCACACACAGTCACACACAGTTACACACAGTTACACAGCAGTTACACCCAGTTTACACCGAGTTTACTNACAGCAGTTACACACGGTTACACGCAGTCACACACAGTCACACACAGTTACACACAGTTACACAGCAGTTACACCCAGTTTACACCGAGTTTACTCGCAGGTGGAGCTGGAGCGGGGCAAGACGCTGCACATCCCTTACACACACAGCAGTTACACCCAGTTACACACAGTTACACGCAGTCACACACAGTTACACACAGTCACACAGAGTCACACACAGTTACACACAGTTACACACAGTCACACACAGTTACACACAGTTACACACAGTTACACACAGTTACACACAGTTACACGCAGTTACACAGCAGTTACTCATGGTTTACTCGCAGGTGGAGCTGGAGCGGGGCAAGACGCTGCACATCAAGGCGCTGGCGCTCGGGGACCTGAACGCGGCCGGGCAGCGCGAGGTTTTCTTTGAGCTCAACGGGCAGCTCAGATCCATCCTGGTCCGGGACACGCAGGCGCTCAAGGTGCGGCCGGGCCGGGGCTCGGGCAGTTTGGGGGAGTTTGGGGCAGTTTGGGGGGATTTTGGGACAGTTTGGGGGGATTTGAGGAGATTCAGGGGGGTTTGGGGAGATTTGGGTGACTTGGGGGGAGATCTAGGGGGAATTTGGGGGGATTTCGGGGAATTTTGGGGCGATTTTGGGGCAGTTTGGGGGGATTTCGGAGGAGTTTGGGAGGGTCTAGAGGGGGTTTGAGAGGAATTTGGGGGCTGTGGGGGGATTTGGGGCACACAGAGGTGACTTTAGGGCACACAAGGGTGACTTTGGGTGACACGGGGATGACCTTGGGTGACACGTGGGTGACTTTGGGGCACACAAAGGTGATTTTGGGCACACGGGGATGACTTTGGGTGACACGGGTGGCTTTGGGTGACACGGGGGTGACTTTGGGGCACACAGGGGTGACTTTGGGGCACACAAAGGTGACTTTGGGTGACAGAGGAGTGACTTTGGGGACACGGGGATGACTTTGGGGCACACAGGGGTGACTTTGGGTGACACAGGGATGACTTTGGGGACATGGGGGTGACTTTGAGGACACGGGGATGACTTCGGGTGACACAAGAGTGGCTTTGGGGCACACAAGGTTGACATTGGGTGACACAGGGGTGACTTTGGGGCACACAAGGGTGACTTTGGGGCACACAGGGGTGACTTTGGGTGACACAGAGGTGACTTTGGGGCACACAGGGGTGACTTTGGGGCACACTGGTGACTTTGGGGCACACAGGGGTGACTTCGGGGCACACTGGTGACTTTGGGGCACACTGGTGACTTTGGGGCACACAGAGGTGACTTTGGGGCACACAGGGATGACTTTGGGGCACACTGGTGACTTTGGGGCGCCCGGGGTGGCCCGAGGTGACCCCTGAAAGTCCCAGCTGACCCCTGCCCCCTCCCATCCCCCCCCAGGAGATGCACGTGCACCCCAAGGCCGAGAAGGGCGCCAAGGGCCAGGTGGGCGCCCCGATGCCCGGGGAGGTGGTCGAGGTCCGGGTGCAGGAGGGGGCGGCGGTGGCCAAGGGCGACCCGCTGTGCGTGCTCAGCGCCATGAAGATGGAGACCGTGGTGACGGCGCCCGTGGCGGGCAAGGTCACCAAGATCCACGTGCGCCCCGGGCTCAGCCTCGAGGGCGACGACCTCATCGCCGTCATCGAGTAGATGTTGGGGGGTTCCCCCCCAAAAAATCCCCCCAAGGAACCCCGAAACCCCCCCGGAAACAACCTCGCGGAAATGGGGCGTGGCCCCTTTAAGAGCCCCCCCGGTGGGTGGCGCCCCCTGGTGGGGGCTGGGCGGTACAACAAGGCCTTAATGGGGGGGGCGTGTCTTAATTAGGGGGGGCCACGTCTTAATTAAGAGGTGCCCCGTGAAGGGGGGGTCCCGCTCCGGGGGGACGCCTCATTTTTGGGGAGGGGGGAGCCCCAATTTGGGGGGGGCTCATTAAGTGGGGGTGGCTCCTTTTTTAGGTTGGTACGATCCATTTTGGGGGGGGGGAGACACACCCAATAATTGGGGTGCCCCCCCCCCCCATTTTTTGGGCATTTCACACAATTTTGGGGGCTGAAACTTCTTTGGTGGGGGGGTTGAAGCAGAGTTTGGGGGGGTCACCCCATTTTTAGGGGATTCATTTCCTGCGGACCCCCCCCCGATTTTGTCCCCCCACAGATTTTGAGCCGGCCAATCCCCCCCCCCATTTTTGGGGGTCCCCTCGCACTCTGGGGGGAGCCCCCCGCCCTCCCCCCATCCCTGCCAAGCTGCCTTAGGGGGATCTGGAAGATTTTGGGGGGGGGGGAGGGGAGGGGTGGGTGTGGCCGCCCCTCCCCCATCCCCCCCCACCCCCCCCCCGCTTTTGCCAAACGCCCCCGGGGGTGGGGGAGGGGAGGGGGCGGAGCCTGTGACCAAAGGAGGGGCTTGAACTGGACTGGGGGGGAGGGGCCGCCCCTCCCCCCTCCCCGCGGGGACTCGAACTGGAGAGGGAGGGGCCGCCCCTCCCCCACGCGCCCCCTCCCCCACCCCCCATTTTGGGGGGTCCCGGGCAATAAAAACTGGACTAACGGCGCCGGTGGTGTGGGGGAGGGGCTGCCGGGACCCCCGGGCGACCCCCGAGGGGAGGGGGCGTGGCCTCAGCACGAGTGGGCGTGGCCTGAGCACGAGGGGGCGTGGTCAGCGAGCTCAGAGGGGCTTTAATTCCCAAATGGGGGGAGTGGGCGTGGCTTCGACCCCAAAGCCCCGCCCACCTCGCCCCAAAAGGGGCGTGTCCCAACCCGGTGGGCGTGGTCTTCGTTCCCTGGTGGGTGTGGCCTAAGCGATTCTTTCTGCACCCAAGTTTGGGTGTGTCCCTAAGTGGGCGTGTCCCCAGGTGGGTGTGTCCCTTCCCTAAAAGGGTGTGTCCCTGCCTAAATGGGTGTGTCCCCAGGTGGGTGTGTCCCCATGTGGGTGTGTCCTAGGTGGGTGTGTCCCTAAGTGGGCGTGTCCCCTAGGTGGGTGTGTCCCTGCACAAGTGGGCGTGTCCCCAGGTGGGTGTGTCCCTGCCTAAATGAGTGTGTCCCTAAGTGGGCGTGTCCCCAGGTGGGTGTGTCCCCAGGTGGGCGTGTCCCTAAGTGGGCGTGTCCCTAGGTGGGTGTGTCCCCAGGTGGGTGTGTCCCCAGGTGGGCGTGTCCCCAGGTGGGTGTGCCCCCAGGTGGGTGTGTCCTCAGGTGGGCGTGTCCCCAGGTGCGTGTGTCCCCAGGTAGGTGTGTCCCCTAAGTGTGTGTGTCCCTAAGTATGTGTGTCCCCAGGTGGGCGTGTCCCCAGGTAGGTGTGTCCTCAGGTGGGTGTGTCCCCAGGTGGGCGTGTCCCTGCCCAAAATGGGTGTGTGTCCCCCCCCCCCCGGGCGTGCCCCCCGCCCCATCCCCGTTCGGGGTCCCTAGGGTGCCGGGGCGGCGCGGGGCGGGCCGGGGCGCGGCGCGGGCGCGGCCTTGCGGGCCAGCTTGGCCAGGAGGGGGCTGTGGGGGTGGCGCTGGCGCAGGTGCGCCAGGTGCGCGTCCTGGCTCTCGGCCGTGCCGCCGCACTCCTCGCACACGTAGAGCTTGGCCCGGCGCTCCTTGTAGCCGTAGCGCTGCGCCACGCCGTGGATCTTGCGCAGGTGCGACTCCAGCGAGCAGCGCTGCGTGAAGGCCTTGTCACAGAGCGAGCACTTGTAGGGACGGACACCTGGACAGGGGGACATGAGGGGACAGGTGGGGACAGGAGAGGACATTAGGGGACACCTGGCCAGGGGTCATGGCCTTGTCACAGAGTGAGCACTTGTAGGGACGGACACCTGGACGGGACAGGGGGACAGAAGGGGACATGAGGGGACACGGCCTTGTCACAGAGCGAGCACTTGTAGGGACGGACACCTGGACGGGACAGGGGGACACGAGGGGACAGGTGGGGACATGAGGGGACATGAGGGGACACGGCCTTGTCACACCAACAGCACTTGTAGGGATGGACACCTGGCCAGGGGACAGGAGGGGACACTTGGGGACACGGCCCTGTCACACTTGGGACGGCCGCCTGGCGGGGTTCGGGGTTCGGGGTTCGGGGTTTGGGGTTTGGGGTTCGGGGTTCGGGCTTGGGCCGCCTCGTGGCTGTCCCTGTCCTGCCCCAGTCCCACTCTGGCTCCATCCCGTTCCCGTCCCCCCTTCACCCCCTCCCCGTTCCCAGCTCCGTCCCCGTGCCCAGCCCTCTTCCCACCCCTGGGCCATCCTTGTCCCTGCTGCTGTTCCCGCCCCGTTCCCGCCCCGTTCCTGATCCCGATCCCATTCCAAATCCCATTCCCGTTCCCATTCCCACCCCATTCCCGATCTAGTTCCCAATCCTGCTCCCGTTACCGGTGTTGGTGCGGACGTGGCGCTTGAGGTCAAAGGTGTCCCTGAACCATTTCCCAGCCCATTCTCAATCCCACCTCATTCCCAATCCCATTCCCATTCCCAATCCCATTCCCAATCCCGTTCCGGTCCCGCTCCCGTTACCGGTGTTGGTGCGGACGTGGCGCTTGAGGTCGAAGATATCACGGAACCATTTCCCAGCCCATTCCCATTCCCGTTCCCAATCCCATTCCCAATCCCATCCCTGCCCCGTTCCGGTCCCGCTCCCGTTACCGGTGTTGGTGCGGACGTGGCGCTTGAGGTCGAAGGTGTCGTTGAACCATTTCCCAGCCCATTCCCGTTCCCAATCCCATTCCCAATCCCACCCCATTCCCAATCCCATTCCCAATCCCGTTCCGGTCCCGCTCCCGTTACCGGTGTGGGTGCAGATGTGGCGCTTGAGGTCGAAGATATCACGGAACCATTTCCCAGCCCATTCCCATTCCCGTTCCCAATCCCGTTCCCAATCCCATCCCTGCCCCGTTCCCGTTCCGCTCCCGCTCCCGTTACCGGTGTGGGTGCGGACGTGGCGCTTGAGGTCGAAGGTGTCGTTGAAGCCCTTCCCGCAGTAGGGGCACCGGTGCCGCTTCACTTCGCTGTGGCACTTGAGGTGCCGGTTCAGCATCCGCTGGAACCCGAAGCTCTTGTGGCACACGGGGCACGAGAAGAGCTCGGAGCCCCCCGGGACCCCCCCGGCCACCGGGACCCCCACGGGGACCCCCCCGGCCAGGGGCAGCCCCGGGGGAAGGGGGGCGCCCAAAGGGCCGGACGGGACCTGCGGAGGGAGGGGAGGAAGGGGTTAAATGGGGGGGCATGGTGGGGACCCCCCTCGGGACCCCCCAGTTACGGGGAGAGCGGTGATTTTGGGGACCCCCGGTCGTGACGGACAGCCCCCCTGGGGGACCTCTGATTTTGGGGAGCCCCCAACCCACCTTGGTGACCCCCCCAAATTTGGAGACTCCCCCCACCCCAATTTGGGGACCTCCGTGCTCCCCCAGTCTCAGGCCCCCCCCTCCCCAATTTGGGCACCCCCAGCTGACTTTTCTCCCCCCCCCATCCTTCCAAGCCCCCTCCCCAAATTTGGGGTGCCCCTTACCTTGCCCTTGGGGTGCAGGAAGGGGCCGGGGGGGGCGCGGGGGGGCAGCGTCATGTCCAGGGGGGACGCGGGGGCCTCGCCCACGGCCGGCTCGGGGTCCCTGCGCAGGGGGCAGCCCCCCAGGCAGACTGGGGGGGGTGGGGGGCACGGTTTTAGGGGGGGTCATGAACCCCCGAACCGCCCCCCCAAAATTGCATCCCCCCCAAAAAAACCCCCCCCAAAAAAATCGGGACGCCCCAAACGTGACCCCCCCCACCCCTCCCCAAATCGGAGCCCACCCTGGGGACGCCCCAAATGTGCCCCCCCCCCATGGCAGGAGGAGGATTTGGGGGGCCCCTCCCCCGCTCCCCTCCCCCGCCCTTCGGGGTTCCCCCGACCGGTCGGACGGCTCGGGCCGCGACACCCCAAATTACCGCCCCAATGACGCCCCTAATTAGGGGTTTCCGGCGGGTGGCGCCCGCGTGGGCCCCGGGGGGGGGACGCCACCCACCCCCCCCGGGGGGACACCGGCGACACCCAAAAATCCCCTCCCCCACCCAGGGACACGGCCGGGCAGCCCGAACCCCCCTAAAATCGCCCCCAGGCACCCCAAAATCCTCCCCAAACCCTCCGGGCACCCCAAACCCGCACCCCCCAAAAGGGTCCGGGGGTGCCCCCCAAAATCCTCCCTAACCCCCCCCCCCCCCCCCCCCCCCATCCCCAGACCCCCCAAAATCCCCCCCAAAATGCCCCAAACCCCTCAGTATCATCCCCAGACCCCCCAAAATCCCCCCCCCCCACATCCCAGAGTTTGGGTGGGATTTTGGGGCTGAACCCCAACTCTGCCCCTCAGGGGACACCCCTGGGGGGGAAGGAGGTCACCCCAAAACTGGGATCCCTCCAAAATCGGGGCCCCTGGAACCCCCTATCCCCAAAATTCCGGTTTCCCCCTACATTCTTTGGTCGTCCTGCACACTTCCAGAACACCTGGGACCCCCCCAAAATTCCTGGATCCCCCTCAAACACCCGGAACCCCCAAATTCCTGACACAGCCCCCCAGACTTCTGGGGACCCCCAGCAGCTGAATCCCAACGGACACCTGAAACCCCCCCACATCCCGGGGTCCCCCAAATTCCTGAGTCCACCCAAATGCCTGAGTCCCCCCCAATTACTGGGTCCTCCCAAATTCCTGAGTCCCCCCCTAATCCCATCTCCCGACGGATCCTGGCCCCCCCCAAATCCCTGGATCCCCCCA